AGATATGGGAAAATTGGGGTGGAAAGTTCTCTGTCCACAAAAACCTCAAAATATAGTGGCGGATGGACAGTCAGCATTTGCAGACTTTGATGTAGATGGACAAAGGATCACTTACTTCCAGGCTGTGAAGATAAAACTGCCAAAATATCATCATCTCCTTACTGAAATCTGGAATAAAGCAGTGGGTTCCAGTCCTACAGGATTTCAGCAATAAGGACACACTCTGGGCCTTTGTGCCATTTGTGCATGAAGGATGACTGACTGAAATACCATTTCCAGTTTTCCTTCATATTGGAGACTATAACATGGATGGCTATCCAGACACTCCTGCCACACTAAAGACATACATACATCTGGAAGCAAACAACAGAACTTTTCACTAGAGAATGACCCTGGTAATAATGTGAGCTGTAAGGAGGCATATCCAATGTTTAAATCTTACTGGACTAATGGACCTAAATCAAATCAGAGATGTCATGGTGTGGGGACAAGTGCATGGAGTACTGCATATGTGACATACCTTAAGGGCGCCTGAGTGGCAAACCACTCCCCTTGTGCTAGGTGCATGAGCAGCAAATTGCTTACCCTTTAGACACATCCCTGGGTGTGAGGCCACGTGTTGTGGTCCCAGCGCTTGCTCCATGTCCACTCCTCAATTGGTCGCAGCAAGGACAGTTGGCCAAAAATTGTATTGGTGACTGCCTATAATCTGCTTAGCTACTACCTGAGTACATGGTAACTACACAATAAAATCAGACCTGTTTTTGGCTTGGTCTCTGAAGGTCTTGATTCATGAATCTGCAGCCACTCTCCTCTACCCTGTTCCATAGACCTCCTCACTGGAGGAGAGAGAGCCCACATACCATGATTGCCACCTTTTTGACATTTAGGAAGATGGGATCTTGGATACTGTAATTTCCTTGGATACCAAGGAAAGTCTACACAAAGAATGATTTTGCCATCTATACATTAAAAAATGACTTTGAAGCAGATGTGTATTTTGTAAAAGTGTGTGTTCCTAGTGGTCTGTGTTCTAATGACTGTCTTCATAAAATAACACCTTTTGGGGCTGGGGATGTGGCTCAAGCGGTAGCGCGCTCACCTGACATGTGTGCGGCCCGGGTTCGCTCCTCAGCACCACATACAAACAAAGATGTTGTGTCCACTAAAAAATAAATATTAATTAAAAAAAATAAATAAATAAATAAAATAAAATAACACCTTTTGGAGTGAATCAACCTGAGCCATATATGGTGTATACAGCTGTAGATGCCAATGGATAACTGAAAAATGTCTCAGCTGGACAACTTGGCCAATCAGCACATTTAGCTCCCCAACTACCATACAATGTACTTGGCTCAGATCGTAGTGAAAACTTTCCTGACCATCTTTATGTTGGAATTCCTTGTCCTTCTAGAGAGACATCTGTACAAAAACAAGAGTGGACTACAATCATTCCAAATTCCCAGCTAATTGTCATTCCATACCTTCACAGTGTCTTGTGAAGCTGGGGTGTCAAACTATGTTATACCAAGTAACATCCTTCTACTTACTGCTATAGATCTCATGGATGTCTGTGTTTCCATCTTGGCAATAATTGGCATTTTGCTTAGGCAATAAAAGAAAGCAGATGATAGAGAAAATGATCAAGAGGCCCATAGGTTTCAAGCAATGCTCTGTGACTTGGCTTTGATATTATATAAAGGAGCGATCATTCATTCGATTAGTTGAAATACTAAATTTTGGCTTATTGGATAAAATAGGGGATTTTGAATATTATTTATAAATTATGCATCTCTTGGCAATTATTGGAAAATATTAAAATAAATATAGTTTAAAAAAGACTAAACATTAAGATCTGAAGTAACAATTTAACTACTCCAATTTGCTGTGGTTAGCTAAGCTAAAATTAAACTTTCATTCCCAGCCTCCTCCAAAACAAACAAAGATTTGAAGTAAATCAGAAAAGGGAAAATGCGAACAATGGCACTGTTTGAAATTGCTCAGATGTTCCTGACAACAACTCCTCCTTCTTGTTGTTGTTGTTCTTCTTTTTTTTGTACTGGGAATTGAACTGAGGAGAACTTTTTAAAAATGTTTAATTTGTTATGTATGACAACAGAATGCATTACTATTCATATTACACATATAGAGCACAATTTTTCATATCTCTGGTTGTACACAAAGTAGAGTCACATCCTTCGTGTCTTCATACATGTACACAGGGTAATGATTACCATCTCATTCCATGTCTTTCCCCCCCATGCCCCCTCCCTTCCCCTCCCTCTCCTATTCCTCTTTGCCCTATCTAGAGTTCATTTAATCCCCCTCAGCATATTATGATATTATGAATCAGCATCCTTAAATCGGAGAAATCTTTCAGCATTTGGTTTTTTGGAATTGGCTAAATTCACTTAGCATTATCTTCTCCAGCTCCATCCATTTACCATGATTTCATTCTCTTTTAATGCTGAGTAATATTCTATTGTTGGGGGCTGGGGATGTGGCTCAAGCGGTAGCGCGCTCGCCTGGCATGCGTGCGGCCCGGGTTCGATCCTCAGCACCACATACAAACAAAGATGTTGTGTCCGCCGAGAACTAAAAAATAAATATTAAAAATTCTCTCTCCCTCCCTCTCTCACTCTATAAAAAAAAAAAATTCTATTGTGTTTATATATCACAGTTTCTTCATCCATTCATCTACCGAAGGGCATCTAGGTTGGTTCTACAGTTTAGCTATTGTGAATTGTGCTGCTGTAAACATTGATGTGGCTGTCTCCCTGTAGTATGCTCTTTTTAAGTCCTTTGGGTATAGACCAAGGAGTGGGATAGCTGGGTCAAATGGTGGTTCTATTCCCAGTTTTCCAAGGAATCTCCACACTGCTTTCCATATTGGCTGCACCAATTTGCAGTTCCACCAGCAATGTATGAGTGTGCCTTTTCCCCCACATCCTCACCAACACTTACTGATGTTTGTATTCTTAATAGCTGCCATTCTGACAGGAGGGAGATGAAATCTTAGAGTAGTTTTGATTTTCATTTCTCTAATTGTTGGAGATGATGAACATTTTTTCATATAATTGTTGATTGTATATCTTCTTCTGAGAAGTGTCTGATCAGGTCCTTGGCCCATTTATTGTTTAGTTTATTTGTTTTTTTTTTGGTGTTAATATTTTTTGAGTTCTTTATATATTCTAATGTCAAGAATATACAAAGAACTCAGAGATTAGTGCTGTATCTGGTGTGCATGTGATAAGAATTTGTTCCCAATTAGTAGGCTCTCTATTCACCTCACTGATTGTTTCTTTTGCTGAGAAGCTTTTTAGTTTGAATCCACCCAGGGGCACTTTTTTCTACTGAGCTACACTCCATGCTCTTTTTACTTTTTAAGACAGGATCTCATTAAGTTGCCCAAGTAGGCCTGAGTTGCTCTCCTGCCTTAGCTTTCTGAGTTGCTGGGATTAAGGGCATATGGTATCACCACCAGCTTTTTTTTTTTTTTTTTTTTTTGAAATGGAGATCTCACTATGTTGCTCCTGGACCCAAGTGATCCTCCTGCTTCAACCTCCAAAGTAGCTGGGAATATAGGTGTGTTTGTTCTAATAGTATGCTTCCAGAAGTTTGTAATTTTCTTCCAGAAAAACTAATATTTAGCTGAGAGCAGTGGTGCACAACTGTAATCCCAGCTATGCAGGATGATCACACATTCTAGGCCAGCCTCAGCAACTTAGTGAGACCTTCATCAATTTGGCAAGACCCTGTGTCATTAAGAAAAAAAAAAAAAGACTAGTGATGTAGTGCAGGTGTAAAGCACCCCCAGGTTCAATCCCTAGTTCAAAATAAATAAATAAATAGATAGTAATTTAAACAGTCCCCAAATATCCTTGCTTAGAGGGTGATATTTTATGTGAAGTAGAAATAATTGCCCATATTCATTCAGGGCCAGTCTCTTTCATATTTTGTTTTTGAAAACATGGGTGTGCATATCAGGTATTTGGTAAAGAGGAATTGTTAGTGTAGCCCATTTGAGAACTACAATTTGGTCAAAACACAGTTATGATAGGAGTTGAATAATGATGGTAATATATGCATCCTTGTTCATATAATTTCATCTTTAGCTTAAAAATCTCAACCATTATAAAGTAATGATAGTTCAGAGACACCTCCCCATGAAGCATCCTCTTTTGTGTTCTGGCAATAGACCTGCATAGAGTTATCAAAGTTCTTTGGGCTGGGGTTGTGGCTCAGCGGTAGAGCGCTCGCTTAGCACATGCAAGGACATGAGTTCCACCCACAGCACCACATAAAAATAAATAAATAAAATAAAGCTATTGTATCCAACTACGACTGGAAAATAGATATTAAAAAAAAAAAAAAAAAAAAAAAAACTTTTCAAAATTCTGTCTCCAACAATGCTGTAATTGTGTGCGTGTAATGTTTGTCCCGGGCTTGGGACCTGGATCTTTTTTTTTTTTTTAAACAGTTTAGAGATTTTTTTTTTAATATTTATTTTTTTTTAGTTATCGGCGGACACAACATTTTTGTATGTGGTGCTGAGGATCGAACCCGGGCCGCACGCATGCCAGGCGAGTGAACTACTGCTTGAGCCACATCCCCAGCCCAGGCACCTGGATCTTGGATCCTTTAATTTCCAGCTCTTGCCAAAGTTCCTGACAAATAATAGACAATGAATAGTACTGTACTGAGTTGTTAAAAAAATAATTTACAAGTTTCTTCACATTCATTCATTTACTAAATGCTTATCGGTGACGGCAGAGATTTGATTCAAGAAATAATGATGCACATGCAACAACGAAAAAAGAACCAGGCCTGTAAACAGAGCTCCTCGGAACTGCGCGAGGTGTCGCACGCCGGCTCCGCCCTCTGCCCCGAGCCCGCCCCCATCGACAGGCTCAGTTACTGCTACTTTAGTCTGGGCCGGAGCTTGCGAGCGAGGGCGTTTGGGAGAAACCTCGCCCAGCGGCGATAGATTAGTCAGGCCTTACAAAGATGGCGTCCTCGGAGCAGGCAGAGCAGCCAAGCCAGGTAAGAGGGGAGTGGGACTGCCCCGCCACGGCGGCGGGGACCCCGGCCGAAGGAGCGCTAGGCGCACGGCCGGGAGCCGGGGGAACCCCGAGTCTCCTGAGCCGCGGCCCCGGCCTCTCGCCCCCTCGCGGGCCCCGCCCCTCTCCGGGACCTCCCCGCGCGGCCCCTCCCCCGGTGACCCCTCTTTGACCACCTTTGGGAGCCGGGCTCGGGGGCTCGGCCGGGCCCGCCGGGCCCCACACCTCGCCTTCCCGCCCCTGGGGGCCCACTTCAGTCTGGTGCGGAGGGCGAGGAGACCCTCGCGAGGTTCCCGGCCTGGAGCGGCGAGGGCCCCTCTAGTGAGGCGCGCCCGTGCCGGCTGCCCCCCCCCCCCCGGGGGGGGCCCTGGCGTCCTCGGGGTTCCCACCTCCGTGGCCTCCGCCTCGGCTTGCGGGAGTGGCCTCCCCCGGCCTCCCTGCCTGCGGTGTCCTTTGCGCTCCCCTCGCCGAGTGGGAGGGTCCGAAATAGGCTGGGACCCTCGCAGTGCGTGGGTAGGATGGGGACGCTCTGTAATCCGCGCGGGCCACCACCCATTGGGTCGAGTCTGCGTCCTCGCTGCCTTGGCGGTGGCTTTTTGGCCGGCGTACCTCTCTAGCTCTTCACCCACAGGTTTAGCCCAATCCCAGTCCAGTAAGGGGACCACGAGATCCAGTGTTGACGCTGGGACGACTTCCGTCGGGGAGCGGTGACAAGGTCTCCCAAGGGGTTAATAGTCCCAAGGTGGGGTGAGGTGAAGAGAGAGGGGCTAAGCAAGCGCAAACGGGGCTGGGGCTGGGGCTCAGCGGTAACTCACTCGCCTCGCACGTGTGAAGCCCTGGGCTCGATCCTCAGCACCACATAAAAATAAATAAAATAAAGATGTTGTGTCCAACTACGACTAATATATATAAAGAGAGAGCGTATGTTGACTGCGTGTGTGCTGTCATTGCTAAGGCAAATTGCGCTTATTTTCTCATTCAGTGCTCACTACAACCTTTAGGAAGTACAGGCTATTTACTAACCCCCATTTCGTATAAGTTGTAATATGCTCAAAATCCTGTGCCTATTTGAGTCTTGATTTGACTCTAGATATATGTGATATCTTTTATTAGCCCATTCATGTTTTAAATTTAGTTAGGACTAGACCTCGAAAGAAAAAATGGTTTCACCCTTGGACCTTTTCACCTCCTTGAAACACCTTTAAAGGTTTTCACCAAGTGGGGCAGGGTAGTGTACGCTTGTAATCCCAGTTACTGCAGGGCTGAGGCAGAAGGATGGCAAGTTTGAGGACAGCCTGAGCAACTTAGCCAGACCTTTTCTCAAAATAAAATAATAAAGACTGAGAATGTAGCCTAGTGGTAGATTGCTTGCCTAGCCTGCTCCTTGACCGTGGATTCAGTCCCCAGGAGGGGAAAAGTTTTTAGCAGTTCACTAGCATTTAACTTTCTTCCCGGCCAAATGACCACCACTTAATGTTTCTTTCTCCACAATAAACCTGTTGGAAGAATTACACTTGAGGGAATTGGAATACCTGAACATGTTCTCCAGATCAGCCTTTGTTAGTGTGAGTGATTCAGGAAGAAGATTCTGGATTGTTAAAACATGGGAGACAGCTGGTTTTGGCTTCTTACTGTCAGAGGTTCGGACTTTGGAAAATGTCTGAGAAGAGCAGTCATCCTTTCTTGTCTACCCTACTTAGTTTGCTGAAATGCCCAAGCTCCTCAGAATCTGGGTTTTTCTGAACTCTTATGTGTTAGGAATGCCCATAGGCATTGAAGGGGTGCTCTCAGTCTGATTACTCTAGGACATTTGCCAGTATTGTGAAGAGCACTAAAAACTTGCCACTTGGATATAAAGTTACTTGAAGGTTACTTTGGTTCTGGAAATTGCCCTCTCTCTCTGTATTTGTGGAAAAGGATCTAGGTAAGGCTCTTTTAGGGGGCTTGGCCAGCACTTGTTTGGTTTTCAGCCCTGCTTCTCCTTTGCCCTCCTTTTCAAAGCTGATAGAGAGGGGATTGCATCAGAGTATGCTGGTAGCCTAAGGAAAAACTTGAACTCTTCTTGCCAGATTATCACTGTCTAACAATAAGCTGCAAATGCATACTTTTTTAAGTGAGCCAGTTCTCTTTAGCACCTGTCTGTCCTTTCATTTTCAAGTCCCTAACAATCTGATTTCCCATTTCTCTAGTCTGAACGGAACAGGATTGAAAGGACTGTTTGGATAACTCCCCCAAACCTGGTTTGTATGTGAGAAGAATTGCATAGGGTTAGACCTGTGGGGCTGAGCCAGTGTTCTCCGTCTGGTAGAAAGTTTGTTAGTTGGCCTTGTGGGATCAACTTCTGGTTTCAAAAGATGATGGGTGGAAAGCCTGCTCTTCCCTTGAGAAGTAGCAAAAAGTAATTGTTATAAGCATATGTTTTAAAGCCAGCCCCTCTGGCTTAGAGTCCTAGCCCCATTTGTACCAGCTATGTGTCTTGGATAGGTTACTTTTCTGGCCTTGATTTCTTCGTTTGTAAAATAGAAATAATACTAATGCCTATCCTATAGAATCGCTGTAGGATTGAGTTTATTTATTGTGCTTAGAACAATACCGGATACAATGTGTTGTATGTTTTTATCCAGAACATTTAATATGTTCTGGATTTTCACTCTAAAGAAGATGAAAAATGGGGCTGGGGATGTGGCTCAAGCGGTAGCGCGCTTGCCTGGCATGTGTGCGGCCTGGGTTCGATCCTCAGCACCACATACAAACAAAGATGTTGTGTCCGCCGAAAACTAAAAAATAAAAACATTAAAAAAAAAAAAAACATTAAAAAGAAAATGAAAACTTTCCTCAAACCCCACTACTACACCTTCTGAGGTCTGATTTCTCATGTTGACTGCTATTCTGTGAAGTTGTTCTTTTTTGTTGTTGTTGTTCTGAAGTACTTTCCTTGAAATTTCAGAAGAATGCCCTCTATCATGGTCTTTATGTTAGCTGTCCTTGATGATCTTTAGATTTGAGAGACATATTTGCTTTTTTTTATAATGGTAAAGTCTAATCTTTTTAGTCTATCCTTAAGACAATTTGTTGGAATTTTATTTATTGCCTCATATCCTTTTTCTGTTTTCCTCACATTACTCTGTTTTGCATGGCTAATCTCTTATCAAAGTCCCTTCTAGTCTGTACATGTTGTGCCCCAGAGGCAGGGGAAAGGTTATCATATTGCTGTACACTATCTTTTGTGAAGAATAGAGGCATCATTCAATCTGGTTACTTAAGATTCATTGAGTATTGAGGATTATTACAGACAGATTTCAGATCTGTTGTGGTTCACCTAACATATTAAGTTTCAGATTGAGAGGACATAGTCGCAGGGAAAGGGGGAAGAGCCTAGTGAAGGAATGGCAGATTGTGGCTTTCTGCCCTGCCAAATTTTATTTGACATACTAATACTCCACCATTGAACTTGACACTTTCTCATCTATTCATTTGTAAAACCCTCCATCCCTCTAATACTGGGGATTGAACCCAGGGCCTCTGGCATGCTAGGCAAGTGCTCTGTCACTGAGCCACCCCCAAAGCCTTTTAGTTAAATTTAATTGATTAATTAATCATTTTGGTACAAGGGATTTAACTCGGGGATACTCGACCACTGAGTCACATCTCCAGTCCTATTTTATATTTTATTTAGAGACAGGGTCTCACTGAGTTGCTTCATGCCTCACTTTTTGCTGAGGCTGACTTTGAACTTTCGATCTTCCTGCCTCAGCCTCCTGAGCCGCTGGGATTACAGGTGTGTGCCACTGCGCCTGGCTCCTTTATTTTATTTTTGAGACAGTTACCCTTCTAAGTTATCCTGGCTGGCCTCAAATTTGAAATTCTCCTGCCTCAGCCCCCAAACTCTTGGGATTATAGGTGTGTGCCATCATGCCTGGCTGGCATGCCATCTTTCTAATTTTATTTATTTTCGAGGTTGGCGTCTTGCTATGGTGTCTAGGCTGGCCTCAAACTTGCTATCTTCCTGCTTCAACCTCCCAAGTAGGGTACTCTACCTTTCTGAGCATAAATTAAAATGAGAGCAATAGTAATTAGCAATAATATTACCTGAAGAGTTGCTATGAGGGTTGACCAAAATCATAGGTATAAAGAGCGCCTGGTGCATAGCAAGTGCTCAGTGAGTCTTAGTTTCCTTCTCTAAGCCTCTATGTATAGTTTTGGAAGTCTGTTTAACTCTTGAGTTGCAGTAATTCAGACACGGTATTTTCCCCTTAAGCTTTTTTTTTTTTTTTTTTAAAGAAATTGAAAACTTTTTTTTTTTTTAAAGTATTTCTCTTTTTTAAATATATATTTATTTTTTAGTTTTAGGTGGACACAATATCTTTATTTTACATTTATGTAGTGCTGAGGTTCGAATCCAGGGCCTCATGCATGCTAGGCGAGCACTCTACCACTGAGCCACAATCTCAGCCCCCCCCTTAAACTTTTTATTTGAACATTTTCCAAAAAAAGTTGAAAGAATTATACAGGGAACTCTTGTAAAACTCACATAAAAACTTAACCAAGATATGCTTCACATTTTGCTGAATTTGTTTCTCTCCCTCCTTCCCTCTTCCACGTATATAAATATATGAAGGATTTGTAGTAAGTTACAGACATTAAGATATTTATTTATTTATATGTGTTTCTGAGGAGCAAACCCGGGGCCTCACCTGTTCTAGGCAAGCACTCTACCACTGAACTACAACCCTAGCTCAAGATATTTTATACTAGAAATATTTGTCTTTCATAAGGGTAAGGTTATTCCTCTGCATAACCACCATACCATCATCACATAAGAAATTTAGTATTGATAAAAAGTATTATTTAATATATTCATGGTCAATTAATATGTTTAATTTGCCCAGATAAAAAAGCTAGGATCCAGTCAGGAAACATTGATTTGTCTCTTTAGTTTCTTCCTTTTTTAGCCTCTATTTTGTTCATTTAGTTTTTTTTTTC